GGAATTGTGTAAATGCAAATAGGCCATGAATTAAAAAAGAAGAAGAAGAACAACTGTGACGTTTGTCTTAGTTTACTCGTTTTTCATGCCAAAACTCGTTTAACTCCCACCGAATAAGTACAAAAAAATTGTTTTCGAAAACGATTTTCTTTCCAAATACAGAAAATTAAACGAATATTACATTTCACTCATAAATCACTACAAGACACTAATATATTTAATTAAATTAAAGCGAGATTCAGCAAATAAAAAATATTTAAATTACACAAATAAAATGTTGACATTTTGTCGTCAACGTTGCCACTGCTATTCACTTTTAATTTTCCGAAGCTTTTTTTTTTTATTTTACGATGCTATAATTTATCAAAATATCTTCCTTTAATTAAGTTTCAAAATTAATATTCCTTTCGATTCTACTATTAAACATTATTTTAAGTGACATTTATATTGTTAACTTGTACAACTGCGGGTAAGGTTTTGATACTAAAATGAAGAATCTCTGTTCATAATCGTGATCATAGTTACTTCTCAAAAAGATGTTGAAACTATATGGACGTAGATTAACACCCGGTTTCTGAATTGAAATTTAAAGTTAAGCACGTCTCCAGGTTTTTGTTTCTGATTTTATTTTTTTATGATCAGTGTGATAGATAAAACTAGAACTTTTTGCTTTGAGAAATGAAAAGAGCTAAGTTATTGAAAATAGTAAAATGAAATTTTGTACTTGTAGCAATTCAGAAACCAGCCATATAAGAAAATAAGTCGAAATCAACAATTTAATATAGATCATAAGATATTGCCTGGAATAAAAACTCAAAGGGCATTGTTAAGTAAAATTTCTCAAAAACATACCGCGTTTATATAAATTATACTATATAATAAATCTGACTATATCACATACGTAGCTTAGATTAAAAGATGAGCAGTCAAACAATTATATGTATTATGTATTACGGAGCATCTGAGACAACAAAGGTAGGTTGAACCGACCGGTAGTCCTACCCGGTACTCACCTAGTACCTCAGAGATAGCGACACCTTGAAGCCGGTAGGCGAACTACTTGATACTAGTCATCCAATGGAGAGGCCATCTGCGATGGGACCAGCGGTCCAATTCTTGAATGTCCTGGTGACTCGGCTGCGGCTGGGTGGGTTCACGGAGAAGTGTCTAATTTACCCCCTGTTGATTGCCGGGTAACAGAAATAGCGCCAGAAGCATTTACCCGACGTTAAAAAAAAGTTATTTAAAAGTTAAGATGTTTGCATTTTGTTCATGATATTCATTCAAATTTTGTTTCTAAGTGATAAAAGGAAATTGAGTATCGAAAATTAATAAATATGACATCGTTTTTTGTTTCTTATAATATCTAAGTAAGTTAGTAAGTTTAAGTTGTTTATTATGTTACGTGTAATAAAATGTTTGGTTGATACGTCATCATTAGTGATGAGCCAACTTATTGGTTGCTCGTAACTTTCATCCGAATTCAGGTTTGGATTGAAGAACAAAAAGCGGAGCGCAGAATTCAGCTTGTATTTGTATGTGTGTTGTATGTGTAACTCAAGTATACTATTTTGAGGGAACGTAACGACCTGACGCACACGACACCACGGCAGAGATTTTTAAGAGAGCATGACTACTCTAGGTATTTAGTAAATAATATATTTCAATAAAACTGATTTCTAGAGTAGGTTGTGTATGAAGACAATCTATTATTAACAATATTATTGGTTAGGTGGGGCACAGTGTGACACTCTCAATATCTCCGTCTCTTTTTACCATTTCGTTATCGCTTGCACACATTTCAGACAAGCTCGTCAGATGCCACCTTGGAACACTTGTTAATTGGATTCTTATTTGCACGCTGCAGAAATTTAAAGAAAAAAATGTTTTGGGCCTTTTTTTTCTTATAAACTGCCAGTATTGTTTTCGTTCTAAGGTGTTGATTGATGTACTTATGTAAATATATGTTTTTTTCTTGAAAAGCCATGTATTTGTTGATAAATACGCGTAGATAGTTTGCTGGTATCGTAACCTACAAATTATTTTCTATGATTATTTGTTTTTTTTTGAGCCTATGGGGTACAGTGTGACGGGGCACTAATGTGACAATGTCACAATTCTTAGAAAGCAATGAAGATGATTCTTACGATGTAAGCTAATTACATAAAAGCAATAAGGTTGATAACAGTTTTTAAAAAGCAATAAGGTTGATAACAGTTTTTATTTCCCCCTTGAGTCAGATTTGGCGGTAGTTCGAATAGAAGATGTAGAAATTGTTTTACCTGAGCTCGAAAAGTGCAAAAAACCTACAAAACAACCAGCTGAATTTTATATTTCTCCTAAAAATATTTTAAAGAAGCTTAATGTCCAATAAATCTTATTATTATAAACAAGTTTTCCCTGAATAAGGAATGTCACAAAGTACCCCATAGTACGTCAGATTGTACCCCGGATCCGGGGTAGTCTGTGACAATCGACAGATCTCAAAAATGTGCAATTTAAAAATACTTCAAGTTATTTTTGGTATTGTTTTTCGTTGTCAAATGATATTTTAAGAACTGTTGATTATTTTAAGACTAATAGAAAGTTCCTTTAGTAAATATTTTCAGATTTACAGTACGATTTATCTTTTTTGTCACACTGTGCCCCACCTTACCCTTCTCTCTTTAACTGACTAAAAAAAAAACACAAACACATCGATTCAAATATTTATTACTAATGAGAAGAAATAAAGTTCATAAAAATATTTTAGTAACATCGCCTATTTACATGGAATATTTTATATTAAATATTTACAAATAATTATATATTTTTAAATTTTATTTACATAATGAATACTGAGGAAGGCCCTGAGCAAATATTTTATTAAAAGGCTTTGGTTGAAATAAATTCATAAAAAAAATTCAAAACATTTTTTTCAAATAAATTATGTAAGGAAAGTATGTTTCTTTAAACATGATAACTGATATTTATTTGTTATTCAGAAAATTCTAAAGTGAGAGTTTAAAATACATTTCATTTAAATAGTTTCAACTAACGAAAGTTTCATATTGCGTCATATCAATGAATATTGTCTATTGATGTGATGAGTGATGACATATATATACTTACTTATGTATAAAGAATGATAAGGCGAGAACAGGTACTTAGATTTAACATTAGTAACAATGAATTTCTGCCTTTAAATTAATTATTGGCGTTGATAACGGTTCATTATAAGCACTTTAAATAAAATTGCTTTAAAATAATCTATGTAGATGGCTAAGTGGGGAATAGACCCGTTTTCACATCGGTCGGCTACGTAATTTTTTTCTAATGAACAGATAAATACGCACGGCAGTCAGCAACACAGATTACCACAGAATATCCAAATTATATACGCAATTCTCAGCCCTAGGACATTAAGGGTTCTCGGACATGTGGAAATAATGCCGGAATAAATAATGACCAAAATGATAGAACCATGTTCTTAGTCATGGAAGGTCAAGACACGGAGCTGGGTTGGCTGGAGTGACTTCACGCCATACACCGTCCACACGCAAAACAAGTGAAATTTTCACGACTTGCAATTCCCATAGAAAGAAGATGGATTGACAACTCGACGACTGTAGTCTGTTTAGATATAAGAGTTATTTCTAAAGTTAAAGCCGTTATGTATAGTAGTAGGATAGTTAGAAAAGTGTAAATTAACTTCAACTATATTTTGGCAACATTGAATAACCGCAATTATAAAATATTATGCACTGTTATGTAATATAGAGTTACAAAAAAAACTTCCTGCAATTTGATCAGAACTGTTTCAAAGCGGTAACTTGAACGTAGTCCAATGATATATTGTATTACCAATATGCAAAACTCGCCGACGCGGTCAGCGTAATGTACAGTCAATTCTAACTAATATGGCTCACGGAAAATATACGATTCAATGTTAATCTCACATTGAATGTATGATTTATTGATAAGTTTTTTATAATGAGTCTTGTTTCAATAACCATAAGCTGAAAAATGCAACGCATTGTCTGTCTCTCTGACACTTAGGTCAGATGAGTGGATCGACAGGTGGCGAGATATTAGAATCATTCTGATTGGTAGACATATTTGCCTTCTGTGCAGATACAATCGGTAAGCCATATTAGTTACTGTAAGCGTGAAATCAATAAAATAAAAGGTGGTATCTTTAATGAATATACTTTTTTGTTTTTAAAGTAAAATAATACTACTTTCGGATTCGGTATACTTGAATTATACGTTTTTTTATAAGCATCCCATTCTTCATTATGACATTTATAGAAACTCTTCATAATCCTCCAAAACCCTTTCAACACCCAACAAACATTTGGCAATAAATTATTATACTAATTAAAATTATAAAAACAATTAACAAAGGTTTTCCTTGTCTTAGTTGTACATATCAAAAGATTCAAAATACAATATAACTCACCAATTTCATAGAATTGACAATTGTAATACATTTTGTCATTCAGGCAATGCCAAACATTCTTAAAATGTGACGAACAAAAATAAATGCTTTTAGCGATGTCCTTTTTTGCCAATATTATTAAATAATCACATTAAAAAAATACATTATCGAAGTAAGCTTATTGCAAAATAAACAGAAATATAATTTTTACTATCGTATTATATTTTGATGTAAGCTACTCTTCTCCTTTCAGATTTCACGATGCATACTCCTTTTAATATTTTGTTGCAAAATAGGTATTTTTAATGAAAAATGCTAAAAAAACACTTTGTCCATGGCGCTTTGAGATGGGATTCGAATTTATTTTTCAGTATAGCATTGTGATTGCAAATTTTATTAAATATAATAATTTTCCTACAGTTTTAAATTTATAACTAAAAATTGATTTTAGCTAACTCGAAAATCATTTGAGCTAATAAATTTATTACAAGAGTCTCTATCCACTTGCACAATCACTCGTTACCTAGAGTTGTGGAGTAACTGAATTCTTTATGTAGCCACTTATAGCAGCCAAAGTGGACTAGAAAGTTGGCGCATTCATTATGAATATCCTTTGCTCTTCACGTTTGATCCATCGCAGTAATCTGTCCACAGCTTTTATTGCTTGATCCTTCTCCATGAGGGCGTCGAACGTGACGTATAACTCGAAACCGTTTGTTACCTGCGAGTTATTATTTCGTCTAATTTGTAATATCATTGCAACATATTTATATACTACTAATTGTTTTACCGCGACTTTGTATGCGTAAATTGTAGCCTATGTCACTCGCGTATGATGTAGCTTCCTGTAGGTGAAAGATTTTTTATAATCGGTTCAGTAGTTTTGGAGCCTAATATATATACGTATATACAGCAGCAAATCAGCTTAAGCACAATATGTCAAGTATCTTCACTTCAAGGCTGTTACAAATAATTGTGAACGTTGAAAAATTATGGCATCAGTTCACAAATCTATGGCAGGAGAACATGTACCGAGATGAATCGGCAGGAGACTCTACTAAAGCTTGTAAAATTAAAAAATGACGGATGATTTTATTAGACTACGAAGTCTATTTCAATTACCATATGTAAAATTTTGTAATGGAAAAGGATTTCAGCCAAAATCGCTTGAGCCAAATTGATTTTGAACTCCACACTCAAGCATTAAAGTTTAAAATCAAAGTCATATATCATTCAAGCATTTGATTTTTGTTTAGGTTTCTGAATTGAGAAAGTACAAAATCTCAACTGATTATTCTCAATAACTTATTTTTTTTTACGTTTTACAAGGCAAAAAATCCTAGTTTTATCAAAGTGCTATCAACTGACCGTTAAAAAAATTTAAATCAGAAACGAACCTGTTTACAGTTTGAGGCGTGCATAACTTTAAATTCTCAATTCAGAAACCGGGTGAAACATTTATAGTTCCAATTAAAATCAATTCAAGAAGCAAATAATGAAAAATGATGACTCTCTTATATGTAACTTAATAAAACACAAAAAAAAATAGTTACCCATGCCAACACAGTGTCATCCGAATTGGACCTAAATATCAATTTCGCCGGCGACGACGTACAATGAATTTTACTGCAAAACTTCCTATAATTCCTTACATAGTCTATATCTGATAACTTCTCGATTTTCTTTTCACTGACATCTCCACCTTCTTTATGCCTGATTCTATAATCTTGTAATCGATCTAAACTTATAGGATCTGATGTAAAAAGTTGGGCTGTCGATTTACATTTGTACATAAAATGTCTGATTTCAGGTATACCAATATGTTTCAAGGGGTTTGTAGTTGGTAATTCTTGGTTTCTGTTCAGGGCGTCGTTTATAGCTACGAGACAATTAGACCGTCTTAGTTTCTCTGCTATAGTGTGTTTTGCCTGAGAGAGAGGGAAGAAAGCGTCCCTCTGTACTGTCAATAGTAGTAAACATGCTTGGCAATCCTCAGAGATGTATGAAACATGACCGTGGAGAAAACCTCTGAAATTGATGAAAATATAAATCTATTGCATTATTGTCTTTTTTTTCAAATGCAATAATAAAAAAAGAGAGTAGGTAGCAAGAACAAATATTTCTTAGAAGGAGATCTAAATCTTAAACACAAATTCATAAATATACATACACAGCATAAATTATAACTAGTTGTTGTTTTAACACAACTTAAATTAATGCATCAGCATCACTTTATCAATTCAAATGCAGTATAACTTTACTCGACAAACTAAATAACAAGAGTTTAACGTAAGGTATAATGTGAGGCATAGGGCAGAAAAGTCTCTATTATTGTTAGTGTATTGGTTATAATTGAATGTATTGATTATAAGAGTAATTTTTTTTCTGATACAGTTGCATTTATAGCGAGATTAGAAAAAAAAATAAAAGAAGTAAATGATAATACTCAGTGAGCAAGAACATACTATATCACTCATCAGTTTATTACTCTGTATAAACTTAATCTTTATACTTTTGCGATAAGAGTATATTTCGTTTATTTTTATTGTATTTATCTTACGTCGCATCAAACTTCGGCAAACAAATGGGCGTCCAACTCTCTGCTGTCTTAAAAGATTCCGAACTCCTCACTAGATTGAATAACAAATGTATATCGGACGGGTGCAGAGTGTATTTCTTCATACGGACCAGCGTTATCAATTGGTTACCAGCTATGAGTATAGCAAATACTAAATCTCTGATTTTGTGACATGTGGTGGTTATAGCATTTGTTATGTTTTCTCTCGCTTTCTCTGGCAATGGTAAACATCGGACAGCACCTGATGTGAACGAGAAAAAAATTACATTAGAAACTAAATCGATTTCTAGCCAAAGTAGAACCTTAATAACCCCGAAATAAATAATTATTACAAATGAGAAAATTTCTAATAATTATTTGTTATAAAATTATAGTTCTAATAATTATGTTATTCACCTAATAAAAAAGCAGGATCCTTTTCCATGAATATAAATAAATTATCAATTAGTCTTTCAGCACCAGATAAGAGTCTCCTTAAATCATAGTTTCTTCTCTGTTCAAATATCCTGTTTAATTGTGTAAGAGTGAGCACAGATACTATTTGATTGAAAGCATATCTGAAAACATTTAATATATTTTAACATACTGACATACATTTAAAAGGGAAATAGAAATAGAATCGATTCAGCTAGAATCTAAGAATGTAACTAGAGTGGCAAGAACGAGTATTGGCCCAGGCCGCCACTATTACGGGGGCGCCAAAATTATGAATATATAATACAGTTAAAAATAGAATGAGCTTTACAAAAATGTCTGGAAAATTCATATACTTTAAGCCACATTTAAGGACGAACATGTTTTCAAAGTTGCTAAATGAAATTAAACAAAAAGATCACACGGGGGGGGGGGGGATTATGTGGTTTCTGCCTCTGTTAAAAATGCGTAGATCCGTGACTATGTAACAGTACAATGGTTCGGAAACGATTGGCATAGCCTCCACAGCAGAGTGTCGCCATCTCTGAAGTCCCGGGTTCGATCGGTCCGGTCGGTTCAATGTAGAAAATGAACTTTTCTATATTGTCCCGGGTCGGGTTTGGCGGTGCCTTCGTTGTCTCAGATACAGATAGCTACTCATCTTAGAATCTGAGCAATGTTTGTGATGTAATATATATTTTTTATTAAATATATATACCCATAGCTAATAATGTAATATATTGAATCAAATAGTTAAATGAAATCAATTAATTCATTTAATTAAACTGCTTATGTATATACAATATGCAACATATTTAACGCACATCCTGAAAGAAGAATATTTTTCAGTATATCATTGTGAATGAGAAAATGATTAAATATAATAATTTAATCGCAAAGTGATTCAATTTTAACAACTTCTGAATTAGGTTTTTTTTTGCTATATTTAATCGGAATGAGAAAGTACCTATTGAAAAAAAGAAAGCAAAACACATTTCCGTTCTTTTTCATATAAAAAAACTGATATTTGCAAAGTTCGAAACTTAGATATCAATACAAATACGAAAAGAACAAATAGAATATGTGTTGTTTATTGAGTTTTGAAAATTAATTTACTTTTATACGTGAAAGTAAACCGGAAGAGTTGTCATGGAGAAATTAAGAAAGTTTCGTAGGGACATCTACTTTGAATTCGGGAACTAATGTTTTTTTTTAAATACTTCCTCATTGGAGTAAATTATTTATTAATTTGAACTTTTTTGCACACAGTACAAAAAGCGGACTTAATGCCATTAGGCATTCTCAACCAGTCAACCGGAGAGTAGTATACAGATAATTTATGAGACGGTGGGAAAAGATCAACTGTATGATACAAATATTTACATCTTATTTCATTATAATATCCTAAACATAAATAAACATCATAAATGAATATACATAAACAAATACATATTTATATAAATATATACATAATTACATAAATATACATATCTGAACAAATTATGGGTTAACCAGAGGAGGATGATGAATCTAATAGATATTCACGAACTAAAAGTTTGAAGATTTTATTTGGTGTTTTCTGTATATTGGTAGGGAGCGCGTTCTATAGTCGTATTGCCTGAAGATTAAATGAGTTTGAAATAAAATCAGTTCGGTGGAAAGGGGTGAGAAGAGATAATTTGCTGTCTGAGCGAATATTTCTATTGTGAGAGGCACCCAAATACTAAAACTTACATGGATCATTAATTATAGAGTAAAGAGTAGAAAGGATTTTCAAGTCCCGACGTTGGTGAATTGTCAGCCATTTAAGTTCATTGCGATAAGATGATATATGATCATATTTTCGTAGACCGTAGATAAAGCATATACAGCTATTAAGTAAACGATCCAATTTGTTAAGAAGTTCTTGGCAGATATCTGTATAACATACATGCCAAACTTGGTCGACCAGTCGGAGATCCGTTGTAAATCACTATTGATTGAGTATATAGCATCATTAACATTTTCACTGTGAGCTTGTGCATAAACTTGAATAAAATGTCTGTATAAAAATGATGAGAGTTTTAAAGGATGGGAGAGATCAAATTAATGAAAACAGAAATAAGTAAAGGAGATAGAATTCCGCCACAAGATAGAAATGCGCCAATCAGACAAGTTATGCTTGTGGCGTGTCGCATGCCTGCGTCTTTGAAGATAGGAAGAGAATCCGCCCAGTTCGGTAGAAGAAACACGCAGGCGTGAGAGGATTGCAAGGAGTAGGTCATGATCGACGACATTAAAGACGTTCGAAAAGTCAATTAATACTAATACCGCCAGTCGTATATCTTCCGTACCTTGGCGTACGTCCTCTGTAATTTTCTCTTACACTACTTTTCATAGTACTGTGTCCTGGCCGAAATCTAGACTGGCAATTCGAAATAATATTATTTTTAAAAAGGAAAGCTGCGAGTTGACGATTTATAACTGATTCGCGAATTTTCGGAAATTTTAATGTAGTCGGTATTGTCCTTTTGGGTAGGGGCAACACATGCACTCCTCGCCAGCTCCGAGGGAATATCCCGGTGGAAAGGGATGAATTAATGATCTGTGTGATGATGGGGAGGACACTGTCTAAACATAAGATTAGCATGCGACGAGTGATTTCATCATATCATTATTTTATAAATTTCGGACTCCAAAACCAAAGAAAAGGAGAAATCATTTAATGGGAGGTTGCAGGGAGAAGAAATATCTTTCAAAGCCTCAGATTTATCTTGGGTAAAATAATAAGATAAGAAATGTATATTGAAATCAGTGAGAGAGAAAGAATGACGATTGATTTGTGATTTAATGTGTGAGTTAATGATGAGGGATTTTAAGAATTTCCAAGTATCCGCTGACGAAGACTGTCAATGATCATCGTGAAAATAACGGCCTTTAGAAACTCTCACCATCCGATTACAGCAATTTCTACAAGTCTTCAAATGAGCCCACTTTTCTGATGACCTTACTCGCTTAAATTTCCGAAAATCTTAATCACGCCTGCTCATACCCATACGCACTTATGGAGTAATCCTAGGCGCACGTGGTCTTTTAAGTTTTACGACACGTACTGGTGCATGCTTGTTAAAAATTTTTGAAATAATACTGGTGAAAAGATTAATTATATCATGAACTTTCTCCACTGATATAACATCAATAGTCAATAGTTAACGCTTTACCAGTAAGTTTATCAAGGTCTAATCGAGCGAAATTTCTCAGTTTTATCATTTTAGGAAAGCGTTTTGGAAATTTAATTTTATATGACACTAAAATTAAATCTTGACGGGAGAAACCGGGCGAGGAAATTTGTCCGTGGGATAAAACTAAATCAGGAGAGGAGATAATGGCATGGTCAATCCATGAGTCACTGGTGTCAATATTATAATCACCGCTGTAACGGTTACAGGTGAAATGATGGTAACTGTAACCATTACAGCTGTCACAAACAAAAAATATATAAACTTCAGTGAATGTAATAAGGCTTTTTAAAGAGCACTTTATTCTTAGCTTGTAATAAAATTGAACAGGAAAATAAACAAAGAAAAATATTCTTAATGAAAAAATTCTTAAAAAATCCCATGACCTTTCATAATCCGGGCGACTGCTCTAACCACTGAGCTGCCCGGGACCTAACAGGACTGACGTATGTGTCAAGTAATTGTTACTGTTTCACTACTACAGAGCATATTTTCAACAATGCTCAGGCAATCCACCCAAACAGCCGAAAGAAATATTTTACAAATATTTAAACTTTCAATTAAAATTAAAATTTGTTTTAATTATTATTTGATCAATTTCGCATTCACAATGCTATATTGAAAAATATTCTTAATGAAAAAATACATAAAGTATAATTAAAAGAAAAATGAGTTTTATTTTAATGTGCCTTGCAAAATAATATACCACAAATATACATGAAATATGTGACAAATATCACAGTGGCAGTGAATGATTATTTTATAGCTATTTAAGTTTACCGAATTTTCAATTTCATATGTGATGAGCAGTGGTCGGAGTTAGGTAAGTTATTCATGTACTTACACTGATTTCATACAGCAAAAGAATAAAGTGGATATGCCTCAAACCCCAAGATTAATTTTAAAGAGCAGAAAAAATCCCGTGATTTTTTAAATAAAAAGTTATTTACTTTTACACAATTTAAACTACTGCACGCACGACATTGCCAAACTTACATCAATGACATCGGATGTCCAAGATTGTCCATTAGAAATCCCGGGAAGGTCCACATTAATATCAACATTTCAATGCAAGTACATAAATAACTTTACCTAATTCCGACCTCTGGTGATGAGTCTTCATTATACTAACATACAGTAAATACATCGAAATGCTTAAGGGAGTACACACAATGTAGTGATACTGTGCTCGCAGAGTAATATGTGATCGCAAGACTATGCTAACTGATACATATAGCAAGTAAGAATCATATTATTGTCTTAACTTAAAAAAATACTTTGAATCTCAAAGCAGAATAATATTTAATAACATAAGAATAATATTCATTGTGGTATTGTACTGTAGGTAAATAAACTTGTAGTTGCAGGCTTAGCTGTAATTTTGACGTCATTCTATGGATTTGTAAGATGTCCACACTGTTACTCAGCAATTAGTATAAGTGTAATAAACAATGTTTTAGTACATAAAAGTAAAATTACAATTTTCGTTTTATGATTATAAATGCTTTTTCTGATTGGGGTTTATAAACATGTGCATTATTTCTGTTACATGTTTTATTTATAAGAAATAAAAATAGGGTTTTTTCCCATTGCCCATCTCTACTCATTTTTTTTTCCCACTCCCTCAGGAGAACACCATAATTGTTTTGTACTCATTCACAAACATGTACACATGTACAAAGCAATTAGTGTGTTGTCTTATTCATATTTTGTAACAAAAGCTCATAATTTGAAAGCAAGTCATTATTATCAATGTCTATTTATAATTAATATTTTTGTAACTTACGTCAACTGTAAGACAAGTTGAGTTTCACTCTCATTTGATTTAGAAACAGCTACTAGAATCAAAGGGCCTTTCACTAAGAACACCGCTTTGCAGTCCTTAGTTATGATTGACCTTAGTATATCTTGATTTTGATCCTCCACCACACTCACAAGAGCTTGAATAACTCCGCAAAGGCCGGCCAGTCTGTCTTCATTTCCATATCTAAAAATATGTAATAATAAAAAAAAAGATCAATCATTCTCAATGTCAATTTTTCTAAGAGTTTGTCTTCAATCCAACGTTAATTGGTATTGGGTTTCTATATTAGTTAAAGGTACATTATATACGTTTTAGTGTTTGTGTTTAGCCAAAATCACTCTTTGCTATTTTAAAATGTTTCCTATATATGATAAATTGTGTATGTAAGAATTACCTAGAGTATATTGGTTTGCCTGCAGAACTCAATACAAAGACATGCTTTTCTTTATTAACAAGTTCTGGTGACTGTAAATAGTCATCTTTTTCATTATCAGAGTCTTCACCATTTTGATTACTTAAATTACAGCTGCTTGCCAAAGCAGACATTTGGTCCTGGAAAATTAATAGTAAGGCTTTAGTAATCAAATTATTGAGGATTATGTGTTTATAGATTCAGAGGACACCACTATAAACAATACATCTTATTGGGATAGGTATCGAAGATTTATTAAATGCTGCTTTTTAAATATTGTTAATAAAGGTTAAGTGCATATCTTAAATATCAATGGCTCTTAACTGGTGGTTCACAAACTACTGGTGGTCTTTGGAAGCATCTCATGTCAATGGTCCACAGAGCCTTATAAAATTAAAGACACATAAAACATATGATATAATACTTTATTTATCAAGACTTACATACAGGATATTAGACCAAGTGAGTCCATGGCTTTTTGTATCTGGGAAAATCAAGCTATGCCATGGCAAGATAAGACTAAGAACACTGTCATAAATTGACTAATGCATGTGAATAAGTTCAAAAAACATAAAGCTGATATTGTTTATAAAAATATGTAATAAACTTACATCTTTACTTTGTAAATCATCACTTGATTTTGTACTAGTTATCTCAGTATTATCTTTGTTTCCGTCGCATATTTCACTTTGAATTTCTGATATAGTACTGCTTTTTGATTTTAAATTTATATTTCTTTCTTGGAGGCTAGAACTCATCTCTGAAGCAAATTCTTCGAAGGAATCCGAGGGGTTCAATACGCTTTCCGGACATGCACCCGGTTCTAAATCGTCTGCAGGGTTGCCCTGGCCGCTGGTGCTGGCTTGAACGTTATCTTTTGACGTGGATGCCATTATTACGGTTATAAGAAAGAATATTAGCAAAAAATAAGATTTTTCGTTCAGCTAACTGCATCAGTTTTTTTGGGGGATGCAAATGTCACTGTCAAATCTGTCATTGTTGTCAATGTCAAAATTGACATATGACAGCGTAACAAGGAAGTCAGCCTATACAGCCAAGTTGACTCAGATACAGTCAACTTGGCTGTATAGGCTAACTTTTATTTACTATGTATCGTAATATGGCTTAATGGGAATGTTTGAGCTAATTGAAAGATAGATTAATAAACTATACTGAAATATCGGGTTGGCACAAAAGTAATGAGACACTTGGTTTAAGTTTTTACTTTTTTTATTATTATTACAATAAAAAAAGTTTAGTCAATGATGTAATTACCATTAGTATCTAAGACTTCTTGCCAACGACCCGGCAAAGTTTGGATGCCTTTTGCCCAGAACTCTGATGGCTGTGCCTCGAAAAAGTTGTTCAACTCCGCCTCTACGTCAGAGAAATCATTAAATTGTTTACCCCGCAAATGCTGTTTCAGGGCTCTAAACAAATGATAGTCTGATGGGGCGAGGTCTGGGGAATAAGATGGGTGGGGTATCGTCTCCCAGCCCAAGTTCTCCAACTGCCGGCGAACCACAGATGCGACGTGAGGTCGAGCGTTATCGTGCAGTAAAACTACATTGACTCGTCTTCGTCGTTTTTTCTTGATAGCGGCAGATAATTTGGTAAGCTGGGTTGAATATTTGTCAGCTTTTATAGTTTATTGGGTAATAGCTCATAAAACAGTATGCCTTGCGCATCCCAGAAACAGCAAAGCAGAATTTTTCGGCGGTTCTTTTGACTCGGCTTCGGTTGAGTTGGTGGCGTTTCTTCTCGAGGCAGCCAAAAAGCACGACGTGTATCGTTCTCGTAATAAATCCATGATTCATATCCAGTAACCAGATCTGACAAAAACTCTTTACGTCGGGGTCGCAGCGAAAGTGACTGACAGATAGCGACACGGACTGCACGACTGGCGTCTGTAAGGATGTGCGGTACCCACCGAGCCAAAACTTTTCGATAACCAAGCTCATGCATATGGTGTTCCACGGCGTGATGACTGCATTTAAGTGCTTCCGTTAATTCACGAGTGGTAGCATCCGGATTCAACTGCAGTTCGCGGCGCAAATCGTCATCATTCACTGCGGGTGGTCGCCCTGAGCGTGGCTGACTTTCAAGGCTCCTGTCTCCTGATTTAAAACGGTCAAACCATCGGGACACCGTCGCATGGCTTGTACTTCCAGCGCCTAATGCATTGTTGATATTGTCAGCCGCAGCCCGCGCACTGTGGCCTAACAAGTACTCGTATAAGTATAGTGTTCGAACTTGTCGCTCGTCCATTTTTCTTCAAACTGACTAAACAAATCGCGAGCGCGGCTTTATATACCCTACACCAGAAGTACCTAGAATGTTCTACAACATTCTAGAATATTATCGAAAAAATTGATTTTAAAAAGGAAATTTTATAGATTTTTCTAGTGTGTCTCATTACTTTTGTGCCAACCCAATATATTTTTCATTTTTATCAATGATAATAATATTTTACAGCAAATAAACATTTGCATTAATTAGTTTAGTTATTATTATGATTTATGATCACATTGCTCATGCTGTATTAAGCTGTAATTTAATTAATATAAAAATATTGCATCTATGAAAACTCAGTGAAACTGATTAAAAGTTCAAATGAAGATTAATTACATATTTAAAAAAAATAGGTATTGTAAGGTGTTATAGTAGGTACCTAATAAATATTTATGTTACGATGCGAGCTAGGATTATTGAACCATATTCATTTTATATTTGAAATTACTCGACATACCGAATTCTCCTTTAGATAAGGTTTGTATTTAAAATTTTATGTTGTGAGCGTCACTGTTTGTATAATTTACAATATAACCCGATCTTCAGAATAATAGGATAAAATAGAGAGTTATTGCCCACAGGCAGTGATTGCCCGTTTTTAGAAAAAAAAATCTGAATCAAAGGTTGTGTTCTCACTTGTTTCGAATATAATTTACTAGGTTACTCTATGGTCGATTTATAGTAGATTTTAAAATTGACAAGTGGCAACACTGAAGAAAAAAAACAGTAATGGCGGATTTTGTCAAGACGGGTGAACGTGTTACTCAAACAGGTAAGCATTTTAGCAATTTTCTTAAGGAATTACTTGTTAGAGGTTCATTTTTTTTGCATTTTATTTGATATTTCATTATTGGTTATGACGAAATCATAAGTGTTATGTTATGTTTTTAATGAAAATATTTGAAATCAGATTAGATTCAACGGTTTTTTAACGGTGGGCAATCGCTGTACGTATTTCGGCATATTTTTAGTTATTGCCCACCATAATTTTAGTGATTGCAATGGTTAATATCTATAGTTATTGCCCAGGGCAATCATTATCGGCAATTTTTTGATTAAGTAAGTAATGTTGCCGTCACATTTATTAGCTTAATGGCTTGCACACGCGCAATAATATTGTCAATATTTTTTCACTATGTAATATTGTCAATATTTTTGCCACACACACTCAATTATATTGACAAAAAGCAGCATTACACATGAAGCAAAAAGAAAAAGAAAAAGAAAATCTGTTGAAAGTAAAAGAAGAGAAAAAGTTGATCAAAGAAAAGAAAAAGACTGAAAATGCAAACAAAAAGTCTAAAAAGAAAGTTAGTGAGACTGTTAAATCTAAGTAAATAGATATAAGTTTAGAGGATAATAGCCAACAACTGATTGAACCTTTTGAGCAACAACTCGAACCGACACTAAAGAAGATAGAAAAAGAAATAGGCATAAAAAGTAAAGAAATATCAGCAAATAAAAAGATTACTATAGTAATCTTTTAATACAACCTTCTTGTAGTAACATTTTGCCAAAGCCTACTTGTGGAGTTTGTCATTTCAACGTGATAAAAAATGAATTGACATGCAATGCCTGTTCAAAAATCTTTCATGTGCGTTGCATCCCACCAAAACATAAGGAACATATACCAGACTACTCCGATTTACGTTTATTTTTGTGTCATCGTTGTTTTGAAGTAGATGATTCTAATTGTGACGATTCTGACTCATCAACATCAGCGAAAGAAATGTTTGATATGGTTAATAAAGCCAAACGCAATTTATTTTAATATTTTGTAGTAGATTTAAGTTTAACGTTTTGTTTTGATTGTTTTATTAAAGTTCAAAGTCTTATTTATCAATTACTGTGCTGTGATGTGGGCAATTAGTGTAAGCAATGGGCAATAACTGTACATTTTTAGATAATTTTAAATTTGTTTAATTATTTTCTAAGCCATGTAAGTTTTGACTAAAAACCGTTAACACTTTGATGGAGATTTTATTTAGATATAAGAAAAAAATAATAAATGGTTGAAAGTTATAATACTTTTTTATTGTTTGAAGCCAAAATGTTTAAGTCCTTAAGTGGGCAATAGCTATACGGTTTACCCTACTCATTTCGAACTAAAAACCATATCTTATTTAAGGATCACTAACTAATACAGGAATAATTGTGTATTCTGCATATTATTTTATAAAACCATCAAATACGCTATAATTTCTTGTTTTACAGTTAAATTGTAACCGATAAAGAGGCTTACCAAACTTCAGTTTAATCAAAATAAAACACATTAATAAATAAATTTGAGTTACATACCTCATTTAATTAAAATGATTTTAAAATCCTCTGTGTCTACCCAAATTACGGTATTTTGTAATTTAAATTAATATAATTATAGTATTAGATTTCAATATTTTGTCTAAAAATATCACGTTTAATTTAAAAGCGTCAAAGCTTCTACAGTTTGTAGGCAAGTGTCGCTGAAGTCGCACACATTGCCAAGTGCCATAATTCAATAAACAAATTAAATCATAAAATGTAGCGTGAACTGACGCATATGAAAAAGTAATTAAACAGTACAAAGAACTTAATGTTGAACATAAATAGGTCCATACTCGTATATGTAAGTCAGATCCACTGCTAACATAGACATCAATACATTTGACTTAAAATGGTCTAAAGAAATAGGGATACTGGATTCTAACTTAATATAAGCTCAGTTAAAATTAATTTATTTTGCCTTTATTGAATCGAAGTTTGATTACAGTATCATGTTTTGGAGATTTAGCTATAATCAACGAGTTTCAGGTATTATTATAATTGGGGAATTTACACTCCGAAAAGGTGTGTAAAATTAGTTTTTACCAAGATTAAACGTTGCAATACAGTGTGTGAAGGACTAAAGAATTAAGTTATTGCAATCTCAAAACTGTCAATTCATTTCAATTTTATATGCTTTATTTAAACAATTCAAAAGAATTGACAGTCAAATAAATTGTAAAGAGCTTGTTTGACTTGGCATTTGAATCTACTGACAGGGAAAAAAATTAGCCCTTGCAGAGTTTCTCGCTGATTCTTCTCGGTACATGATCTCCCGCCGTAGATTTACACGAGGGGCCGATTAGAGAGTAAAATAGGATGATAATTGGTTCTTAGAAACTACTACTACATGAAGCTAAGCCTTTCTGACCATGCCTGCTGTCTTTCCCCATTCAAGTACTGTTAGTTTCCGCTGGGCATACTAATAACTTTTAGAGTAGGTCCCCAACAGTAGCAGGCCACATTATCAACTCCCCTATATCATCTTTGTTATTATCGACCGTAGAGTAGAACCATTGGTTTTTTGCAAACAAATCATAGATTTATTATTGATCTATTAACCTTCCCTGTTCATCTAATGAAGCGATATAGGCCTTTTCAACTGGATGTATACCCCCAAAAACCAATTTGCGTGGTTTTGTGCTAAACATAAAAGCCAATTTTATGAAAGGAGCCCCGGTCATTAAATGGTGGGAGGCACTTTTAAACAGGATTTTTCATGGATTCCCGTGTATTAGGGATGGAGTGATATCGATTGTTTTAAACTTATTATTAGATTGGGCAATTGGGGATAAATTTG